TACTTAAAACTGTGGAGCCCAATGTCAAGGCTAGCACTGGGCATGTCTTAGCTATTCATTCCTCCAAGGGAACTAAGAGGAAAATTAAAGGAAGTTTTAAGAAAACATCCAAAAAGGCTAAGGGCAATAACAAAGCAGTCAAAGCAGGCAAGGACAATACCAAATCTGATAACCCATGTTATCACTGTGGAGTGAAAGGTCATTGGAAGAGAAACTGCAAAGCTTACCTCGCAAGCTTGAAGGGAAAGAAATCTTCTAAAGCTTCTACTTCAGGTACTTTTGTCATCAAGGTTAATATGTCTACTTCATTAGCTTCTTGGGTATTAGATACCGGATGTGGATCTCATATTTGTATAAATATGCAGGGACTAAAGAAAAGTAGAGCACTGCAGAAAAGAGAAGTTGACCTGCGCGTGGGAAATGGAGCAAGAGTTGCTGCATTGGCTGTAGGGACATACTTCTTACCACTGCCTTCAGGCTTAGTATTAGAATTAGAGAATTGCTATTTTGTTCCCGCCATTACTAAAAACATTATTTCTATTTCGTGTTTAGACATGGGTGGTTTTTCAATTAATGTTAAGAACAATCGTTGTTCATTTTATAAAGATGAGATCTTTTATGGTTGTGGTGTGTTGTAGAATGGAATTTATATTCTTGATACTGAGTCGTCTATTATGAATATAGAAAATAAAAGGCATAAAAGTGATAATCTAAATAATACATACCTTTGGCATTGCAGATTAGGTCATATTAACGACAAACGCATTTCCAAGTTACATAAAGATGGATACTTAGGGTCAACTGATTTTGAATCATTTGACAGATGCGAATCGTGCCTGTTAGGCAAAATGACCAAGTTCCCTTTTACTGGAAAAGGGGAAAGAACCACAGAACTGCTGGGATTAATACATACCGATGTATGTGGACCCATGTCAATAACTGCCAGAGGTAGTTTCTCTTACTTCATCACATTCACTGATGATCATACTAGATATGGTTATGTGTATCTGATGAAATTCAAACATGAAGCACTTGAAAAGTTCAAGGAATTCAAACTTGAAGTAGAGAAACAAACTAGTAAAAATATACTCACGCTAAGATCAGATCGAGGTGGAGAATATTTAAAGGGAGAATTTTTAGATTATCTTAAAGAGAATGGGATTCTCTCGCAGTGGACTCCACCATATACACCGCAACATAATGGTGTATCTGAACGGAGGAATCGCACTTTGTTAGATATGGTGCGATCTATGATGAGCCATGCAAACATCCCAAAATCATTTTGGGGTCATGCACTAATTGCTGCGTGCTACACACTTAATCGTGTCCCATTTAAATCGATTGACAAAACTCCATACGAGCTATGGAGAGGGAAAAGACCAAACTTATCTCATATGAAAGTTTGGGGCTGTGACGCTTATGTGAAGCGAAATGAATCAGATAAGTTTGAAGCTAAATCTGACAAATGTGTATTTGTGGGATATCCAAAGGAGACAATTGGGTATCAATTCTATAATCCCGTTGAGAAGAAAGTGTTCATCTCAAGGCATGCCATATTCCTAGAAACAGAGTTTATTCTAGGAGAGGGTAGTGGGAGCAAACTAGAACTTGAGGAAGTTCAAGAACCCACAGACACTGTTGACCAATTAGATGAACTTGAGTCTGATCCTACACCTGTTGGTGGACAGACTCTTGATCAGGATGTAGAGAACCCTGAGGACACTCCAGCTCAGCGTAAATAAAAAAGGATCATTCGACCTCCCAGAAGGTACGAATTCACGATTACTAATCAAGTATTATGAGTCAAGGATGATGAACCTACAAATTACGCAAAAACAAAGTCAAGTGTTGATTCGAAGAGATGGCAAGATGCCATGGAATCCGAAATGGACTCAATGTATGAGAACAAGGTTTGGACCTTGGTCGACCTTCCAGGTGAGATAAAACCGATAGGTTGTAAATGAGTTTACAAGAAAAAGGTCGATATGGATGGAAACGTCCACACATACAAAGCAAGGCTAGTAGCGAAGGGTTACACACAAAGACAAGGTATTGACTTTGATGAAACCTTTTCGCCTGTAGCCATGCTAAAGTCCATTCGGATTTTGCTTGCAATAGCTACATACCATGATTATGAGATATGGCAAATGGATGTCAAAACTGCTTTCCTTAATGGAAACCTGCAAGAGGAGGTGTA